GGGTGGATTAAAAATCAACTTCGAGAAGACCGAATACATGTCCATACTGGAGCACTTATAGTGGACAAGGAGTCCTACAAAAAAGTTAATATTTTCAAGTACCTGGGCTCTTATCTTGACGCTACAGGGTCTTCTGAGCATGACGTCAGAAGGAAGGTAAAGCAAGCCCATAAGGCTACCCGAATCCTACATCAAGTTCTCTTTAATACGCAGCTTTCCACAGCGAATAAGCGTTGAATATTCACAGCTACAGTGGAAACTATTCTTACATATGCCTCAGAGATATGGACCATGAGTTCCCGTTTGTACACAAAGGTGCAGGCGATCGAGGTCGATTATTAGATAAAATTAAGAATGCGGTAGTTGGGCAGAGAATGGATGTGGGTACAGCGATCAGAGTACAAGCTGCCTAAGATGTTATGGGCATGTGTGGAGAATGACGAAGGAATTTGGCCGGGCCGAATTCTGGATTGGGTTCCGCCATGGAAGAAAGGACGTGGACGGTCCAGAAGCAGGTGGATGGAGAGAATCCAGGAGGAAATGGCAGGCCGAGGTCTGGAGCGAGATAAAAGCGCCTGAAGCTCTGCGCTGACTATATAAGGCAACCCGTAGATGGAACGCCTATAAAGTAAACTAAGAAAAATTAATAAGTGCAGCCCTTATTCGAATATTTAGACCACGACGGCGCGAGTTTGATTCCGGCATGGAGACAGTAACGTCCCCACCCAAAGATTCATAGGGACGTGAGCGAACCCTGTGTGTCTTACACCATTGCTTCTGGTCCTCAAGATTGGGCGTTTGGCTTTCGTGAAAATCCCCTATCATATAAAAAACTGGGCGGAAAATTGCTGGAAAAGATTGTTAACCATCTTTCAAGAAAGTTCCTGATGAAGAGGGCGTGAATTGTGATCGCGTCCGGTTAGTAAACCACGTGTTACCTGGATATCTCGAAGAACAATGAACCTAATTATCACTACTACCGCCTATAGAAGCCACAAAAGCTGCTAATGAAGACTCATGGCGAAAAAGTCGAAGTCAACAGGAGTAAGAAAAAAAAATGTATATTATTTAATAAGACGCACTTTAAAAATTAAATGTTCAATTATATTTAATTACAGTATTTTTCATTATTTTATTGGTGGAGTTCTCTACTACATCAAGGAAAAAACAGGTTTCTTAAATTTGAGCGAGTCTTATATTCGATTTCATACAGTATAACCATTTCCTTAAATCATGTAAGTAAACCATTGCACGAAAGAAGATTTCAATTAATTTTTCCTATAACAGCGCCTGAAATATAAAATATATATATTTGGATGAATCGATGTTTCCTCTAATACAGGGAAAAGGAGTTTAAGTTAAGAATAAAAAAGTAATATTTCAGAAAGAAGAAAAACAATCCTATATAAATTTAGCATTGAAAAATAATCATACCTTACAATTGCTTTTTTTCTTTAGAGAGAATTTTTTTCTGTTGATTTTCCTTATTCCACTTGGAAGTCTGCCTCTTCGGAATATTCATTGGTTTACTGAAAAATATTACGTAATTTCCTCTGTATATTTACATAAGCATTTATTGGATCCTGTAAACTTATCAAGAATATGAATTCTTCGTTTCATAGATGATTTAAGTCTGCGTCATGAGCTGACCATCTTAAACATAAAACTTTACTATCAACATATCTATTAATGGTATTGGAAAGATGCCAAACCATTGTAGGGGTCAAGGTGAAAAAATATTCATTGTATTTCCTATGAAAAAGGAAAACCGATTAACATAAATTTACAATATATCTAGCCTAAAGTATCTGCATGAATTGATGACTTATGTATGTTATCATTTCAAGTAATGCAATACATATATGTGTAATTTTATATACAAAATTATCGTATCACTTAGGTTTCATCTCTAAAATAATGCAATTTTCCAATTCCGATATAGTTTTATTTATTTTTTTCAATACCTCAATTACTAAATGTAATCATTGCAGGAGGCCACTGGATACTGTTAGAGAACTTCTTTTACATTTAGGTTCTGATTGTTATTTTTATGAAATAAATAAACAAATTATTTTAATGTCAAAAATACCATATTTTTTTTAAACCTTTTATTTCTGTATTATAATTTTTATTCTTTTAATATTATATTTATATTCTTTGATTTCAACACTCACAAGTGATTTCATTGAATTCAAAATTACTTTGCTTTATGATTATTTCAAGTAATGCGATATTTTTTGCCAGTGCTTTAAATATAAAGCTAAAAGATATAATTTAAATTTATTCAGCATCAAAGAGTAATTTTATAGATTCCTACATGATCGGACCTTCTTTAGTTGATAGTTTTGTAGAGAAGAAAAAACAAATTATGCATATATACAATTCATATGTTACAAAAAAAAAAAAAAAAGACAGAGGAAATTGTAATTAAAAAGGATCCAGGCTATCACAGTTTCGGCAATGGGGAAAACTTGATTTTCATGTGAAATTTCTAAATTAAAACGAACCGTTAGTGTTTTCGTTTGTCGGTTCGTTTGTGTTTACGCTGTTCTATCTCCAGGGTGGAAAACGTTTTCCGCCTAGCCGAGAACGAGAAAAAATAATTGTAGCCTCGTTATTTGCCAAGCTCGCCATCGAGGTATCCTTTGATTAACGGTCTCCGAGCCATTACATATGGCTTGCCACACCATTTAGAGCTCGTTGCGTTTGTACTACACCCGTTGTTTTATATGCCTCGAAAAGTCACAGAGCTAAAAGATAAATAAATGGTGATACCGATATTTCGAGGTCACGGTTTCAGAAAGTTAGAAAAAAATCATTTCAATTGATTAGTTTTTATTTATTTACCACAATAGCACGAATATTTAAAAACAATATTACATAAATTTTTTAATTTAATCAATAAGAGAGAGAAAAAAACTAATTCAATAACTGACAACTCCATCGCAAATTCCAGTAAAGAATATATGAATCCAATCTAGATACAAAACTTTTCTAATATGAGAGAAATATAAAAGTTCGTAAAGAGATATAAAGATGTTTTGAAAATCGGTTACACTTATGTAGCAGTTTTAACACAATGGTATCTTGTAGGTGCTATCTGAAAAGTGATAAATATTTTGTGCTCTGAAAAAAATTCTAGAAAAGTTTTGAACTTCACAGAAATCATTATTATCATGTTTTTGACCAAGTAAGAACATTATATCCAAGAAGAATGTTCTGTACCGAAGCAATCAAAATACTACACTATGTTCATGCTGGGACAAAACTTTTGGTCTATCCAATTCTGTTAATCTGCTGATTCCAATAAGGAACACTTCTCTTCTGGACCAAAAGTAAAGTTAATGTAAATGCTACAATGGAGATGCGAAGGACGACACCAATGCTCAGTTTTTTTTTTCTGAGGGCCTAGATAATAAAATACCAAATTCCTAAATATCACCGCTCCGCTACAGCAAACAATCCTGTAGCGTTGTTGTTCAATGTCTTAAAGCTTTAGTCGCCATCGATAATCCAAGCATTTACAATTGCGTATAGTATTTAATACTATATTAAAACATCCCGACATACCAGAGAGAGAGGAGATACTCTTGAATTGGGAGAAGACACGTTTCGCAACCGTGAAAAATTTAAGTACTTGGGCAGAGTAGTGACAGCGTAAAACACTGGAGGTGCAGGTTGTTCAACTGATTCTTCCGATGAGAATGAGATGTAAGGACATTTAAGCGCATCCATGGGGTTAAAGTGCTGTCCATGACTACGATCCTACGGTCCTCTTTCGACCTAATTGGATCTCATAATAATACAAAAAGGCGCTGCCGAAACTGTTCTACTATATGTTAGTATAATTGACCTCACCCATAAACTTACACATCATTTTCTAGATATCAGTTGTTTTTGTCAAATCCTAATCTCTCCCTTGTAAAAGATTTAATTTTTTTTTAGCAGAGTCATGGGCCAATGGATGATTGGTTTACGGCATTTCTGAGAGTATATGTGCGAGCCCATCAGCTTGTTCGTTTTCTGGTAGACCAGAATAGCTTGAAACCTATCAGAATATCTCAGGGTCCTTTTTAAAATACATCTTCAATATAAGGCCTAGGAGACATCAGGATGATCCAGTCTATTTTTACTACAGGTCGCTTCCATACAACTGGTGATAGCTTTACTCCTTCCCTGTTGTACATTTAAATAACAGCTATTTTGTAAAGCATTTCTTTGGAATTGAATTGGTCTTACTTGTTACTGAAAAACATACTCCTTTGTGCCACCTCTAGTATGTGTTTTAAAGTACAAACATACATGGTCTACAGCATAAATATATTATAAATTATCTTAAAAAGTTTAACCCTGGAACAAATGTCTGTACATACTTCTTTTATCAATCCAAAATTATTTAACGGCTTGATATCTCAACTATTCACTATTGAATCTACTGAGGGATTTTGGGCTGAAGCTTCTCCAAAATGGAAAAATGACTTTTTTTTTCATTGGTCCACATTAGTTACTATGAGTGATCTAAGTTAAATACTTAAAATAATCACAATGTATTCTATTTTTTAAAATTATAATGCATATAAAGCTACTAAATATAAATATGTCCAAATAAAAAATATTCAAAAGTTATCCCAAGAAGTATTATTGTTCATGTAATTACATTTTTTTAATAGAGCTTCAAAAATCATTTAATATAGGTAATTTCTTTCTTTTTCTTCTAAAGTAATTATCGTTGTGTATATATTAAAAAAAACTTTCAGGATGAATCATCTCAAAAGTTAAGTCTAAAGGATCCCCTACTGCTAAGGACAAAACTAATCTAAATGTCACTGTTTCAAACTTGAAGTTAAAAGTAGGTGTCAGAAAAACATAGATATTAAATAGTTTTAATTGTAACTTATGTGTGTGTTTTTTATTCTTATTTTTATGCTTGTATTGTTTCTCACCTGTCTGTCTTAATAGTCTAAAAAGTCACCGCTAGAGTGCTCTCCACGGAACCTACTGTTCCATGTTTACAACGTGAGGTTATACCCATGTTTACATTCGAAAAAGCTTTGTTGTATTAGTTTCTTTACAGTTGATAGTTTGCTCCAATAGGTTTTATTTAGTTAAATATGGACCCAGCACTGCTAAGAGAAAGGGAACTATTTAAAAAAAGAGCTCTTAGCACCCCCACGTAAGTTTTAATACTAATTTAATTAAATTATAATATTAAAAGCTCCAGAACTCAACCAATCTTTATATTGTACTTTTACCAACGTTTATAGTCTTATATCACAGAACTGCTTCTTTTGATAAATCCGTTGTTCATTTCTCTATCTTTTGAAATTTCTTTCTTATTTCTATCTGTGAAGCTCATTCTCTACAACTATGTTTTCACTTCCTTATATCTCAATCTGCTGATCGAATACAAAATTAACTGTCTAATTATTCAGTATAAAATGAGTTAGCAGGTAGACCATTAGCATTTGTTTTTGTTCTTAAGGGACTTGATTACATAAGACAGATCATTTTTCGTTTCATTTCAGTATGATTTTGGCCATTTCAATTAACAATATTATATTTTCACTCATGAGTGAAAGTTAAATTTATTTTAATTGATTATAGCCTTCCATTATAATAAGCCTTGTCAATCAACTTTTTTAGTTTTGAATCTTATGTACTAGTAATTGTTTTAATAAATGAACTTATAATCAACATGCAAAATGTCTAGTTGGAATTTAATTTCATTTGCTAGTATATTTTGTAGGTTGTCATGAACCTCATTTTTAAAAACATAAATGAATGTAAATGTGTTTATTAACGTAAATAAGATAGAAAATATGCCATAGATATATCTCAAACACCTAGACAATGGAAAATTCTGTCTATCAAGTTTATCCTTGCAAGATCAAAACAATCATTGAGATGAAGTGGTACAGTGTCAGCTGCACATAAACTGGCATGTATGTAGATATATAAAAACTGAAATGTAGACATTTTTTAAAACACTAAGTTTTTCTATTTAATTTATTTGGTGTTATAATGCCGTCAATTTTATATATAATTGGTGGCGTTTATGATCTCGAGCTCAGTTTGATAACGTTTCTCGAATTCCACCCACTTCCAGTTTCAAAGAAATTTTCTTTTTTATCTAGAATTTTCAAAATATAGTTAAAATGTATTTTTAGTTTATAGGCATATGTAGAGCTAGTTTCTGTTTCATGATCTAAAATATAATTAGGTGGATATCTCTGAAGAAGCAACAATTTTTTTATACAATGTCTTTTCATACTTTCTAAAACTTCATACTGCTCAGAACCCCAAGCCTGTCCCACATAACTAATAACTGTCAATTAAACTGACTTATAAACTTATAATTTACTGGAGTAGGGGACATTTTTGTTTGTCATGAAATTATGCTAGGTAGAATTCAGAACAAACTTTGTTGCCTGACTAACTCTTTTACCAAAGTGACATCCCTTAAGCCAATTTTTAGGTAAACAAAACACATATCTGAGGAGCATTTTTGTTAAAATTTCATTTATAAGTTAAAAGACAAAAGTGTGATTATCATCTAGGCATATCTGAAAAAAGGTCTAATCGATCAACTTCAGCCTATTTTTATCACTGTTAGCTGCAATTTCCTTGTCACAGACTGGAAAAAGTTCCAGTGTTGTATGAAAATGACAATTTCTTCTTTATTTTCTACTGGTACGAAATGTGGATCTGCTCTGAGATAGCTTATATGGGATGGGATAGCATTGATGTGTAGAATAGCCCATATGAAACATCCTAATCTGACAAAGTTAGCACCATACCTTGTTTATTGTTACTACTTTTCTTATAGTATAGTGTTTAAAGTTCTTTAATTGGATAAAGTAAGTGGTTTTATATTCAGCAAATGTGTGGTGATATTTTAATGTGCTATGTTTATTTATTTTATTAAAATATTATTTCTTGTTTCAGAGTTGAAAAAAAGAAACCTAAAGATGATTCGTTTCTCACCCCAAAAGATGATTCCAAAAAGAAATCCAAACCTCCAACCTCAGCCCCAAAGTAAGTTACTATTAAGCCAGGCCAAATTATTTTATTTTATTAGTATATTTTATTTTATTTTATTAGTCTATAGGTGAAGTGAATTGTATATTAGTAATCTAATCATTGATCAAGATGATATGTAGTCATAGTGTCATCTTAATGTCTTTCATAATTTGTGTGTTATGAATTTAGGTATAAAATATTTTTTCTTTACAATTTTAGCTACAAGGCTATGTCTGGTAGTTCTCAATACAAATTCAGTGTGCTTGCTAAAATTGTCAAGTATATGAAACAAAGACATCAAGAAGGAGATGACCATCCCTTAACCTTAGAAGAAATTTTGGATGAAACAAATCAATTAGATGCAGGAAGTAAAGTGAAACAGGTAATAATTGTTTAAGAGTAGCATATGAAAGGTTTATTTACACAATTTCATGTTAAAACAATTCATATTAATTCTTTGCGACTCACATTTTGGAGATTCATAATCACTATATGTTTTAAAATTTTTGTTGCATGAACCCCAGTTTCTTTGAACAATGGAAAATAAATACATAACAAAAAACCTCATTAGTTTACTTTTATATAATAATATTATTATTTATTTATTTATTTATATGATATTTACAACTGTATACAAAAAATACATCTGGTAATTTCGCACATGGATATAATGACATGGCACACACGTTGAGAAACTACCCATTGGTAGCACTCTAGTATATAATAATATAAATATGCCAGAACTTGTTTCAAAAGCTACTAAGCATTAATCATTTTAGTTAGCTTATTCTTTGAATTCTCCTGCCAATATTGTCCAAACTTATGAACCATAATCAATCAGTGAGCCCTTAGAAAAACCTATTCGATCCAATAGCAAAAACATGTTGTCATGGCAGGTTTTTTGTTAGTTGGTTTTTATTTAAATTTACATAAAAAATTATTTATAAATATGAGCCGGGGTTCAACTTTATTTTTACTTTCCTACCGCTACTAGGAAGTAGTGTAATCAGATCAAATTTTTGATGTGCAGTTTTCAAAATATCTTTACATTTCAGTGCCAACTGAGGAAAAAAAAAAAAAAGAATGTATTTTCATCACAGCCAATGATATATCTGTGTGTGGGTGTGTCCGTACCATGATTATCTTTTAAATGGCTGGATCCATTTTTTTATTTTTTTTTTTTTTTGTACAATTTTGGCCAGAAAAATAACCAAAATAACTGATGTGGTAATTCAGTGAAGAAGCTAAAAAATGTATGAAGAAACTCCCCCATTTTAAAATCTTGTCCTATTTTAAATTTTTCTGTAAAATTCTAAAAGTTGCATGGGCTCTATATAACTATCAACGTTTATTGATGGATTACTTGTGGCTGATTCATGTATCTTTATTTTATTTACTGCAATAATCCTGGTCTATAATTACAATTGTATCAATTGTTTTATTTATTTATTGAAATATATAATATTCAATCTCATGGACAATAATTATAGTGATAAAGGAACACATTCACACTATATCAATTTTATACCCCAATATTCAGTTTTTATAGATTGTGCTAACTTAATCAGTATGATCAATATAACCTTGACATTCTTTAATAAAATTAAAGTTTTTTTTTTTCTCTCTGCATGATATTTTAACATAGCATTTTATTTATGTGTGTAATATAATAATATGTATATAATATTACCTTCATATAATTTTGATTCATATTAAAATTAGTGGCTCCAGACCGAAGCTTTGGCCAATAATCCAAAAATTGAAGTTAACAATGAGGGAAAATACATTTTTAAAGCACCATATAAAATTAAGGATAAAAAAGGTCTGCTCCGGTTGTTGAGGCAACATGATTTAAAAGGACTTGGTGGAATAATGTTAGAAGATGTGCAAGAATCTCTTCCTCATTGTGATAAAGCTCTTAAGGTAGGATTATTGCTTTTAATAATAATTTTCTTAGTTTTAGGAAATGTTTAAAAACTGTTAAATTTTCACTTGAAGATTTATCAAAATTATATTTTTCAGTTTATTAATTTTTATATTATATATTGGTTTTACCATTTTTTTTTTTTTCATTTTAAGATTATCTCAATATGTTGTAATAGTTTAATTTTTTTAGTTGTATGAGATAAGAACCTTGTTTATACATTCAATAATTAAATTACTTTAATTTATATGCTGCTAAAATAATATCTCTTTTTGTTTAGAGTTTGCAAAATGAAATTATATATATTTCACGGCCAATAGATAAAAAGAAGATAATGTTTTATAATGATAGAGCTGCTACTTTAGGCTTGGATGAAGAATTTCAGAAGCTTTGGCGTGCTGTTGCTGTTGAAAGTATGGATGACCAGAAAATAGAAGAATATTTAGAGAAACAGGTATTTATTTTTTCTCAATATATAAGTTTAATTTAACTTATTACAATTATTAATTTAAAGGTTTTTTTATCCTGTTAGTCTATTTCATATGTGTATTTTTTTTCCTTTTTTGTTTAATCTTTTCAGACATTTATTCATGAATTTAATACATTTTCATTATTTTATTAAATGGGCTGTGGTGGTCTACGAGTTAAGGTGCCTTTTAAATTTTATATCAATTGTTCAAATCTGAATTAACGACACACACAAAAATAAAATAAAATAATTGTGTGCTGCAACCACCCCTTACTCAATTACTTAGGTTCAACACGTGCATTGGCGCAGGTTTGATTCCCGCATGGAGATGGTAACGCCCTCACCCTGAGATTCATATGGAGGTGAGCGACCCCTGTTTCTTAAACCATACCTCCTGAACCACCAGGTTAGTGGTTGGGTATAGGCCTAATAATCCCCTATCCCATAAAAAACTGGGTGAAAGATTGAAGCAAAAGGTTGCTGACAATCCTGCACAATAGTTCCTGGTGAAGAGGGAGTGAATGTGACCACATCCAATTAGCCAACCACATGCTCCCTGGATATATATCTCGAGGAAGAGAGAACAAAGCAAACTATTGTCGCCTATAACAACTCCAAGCTGCTGAAGAACACTCATGACTTAAAAAGTTGAAGTCAACAGTCATAGAGGGGGAAAAAAAAATTTGATTAAAGAAAATGTTTTTACCGTAATATCCAAATAATTTAGTTAGTTCAAATGGATAGATAAATAGATAAAAAGTTCAAATGGTTTAAATTTCACTTAAATGTAATTATTGAAAAAAATTATATTAGACTATGCTCTAGAAAATTAAAATCGTTACTCCGTACTTTACAATGCCAATTTGGATCTAAAAAAAAAAAAAAAAAAAAACTGTACCACTTTACTTATTTAGGGAAAGCACTGTTTCTTGGTCTATGGTTGTGCAAGGAAGTGATTTGACCAAGATCATGCTCAACCGCCAGGTTTTTCCCCTTAATTAATTATTTTAATTAAGGGTACCCACATTATAGAGGCTGGGTATGCTTCAGGAGGGTCTATCTTCCCAGGGTTGTCCCACGGCCAATGAAACAGAATAAATAATTTTTCTGCCATGAGCCGGGAATCGAACCTGGACCTTCAGCATTGGAAGCTCAGTACCCTACCACTGAGCTATCCCACTCCCAATTTTTTAATTTGTATCTTATTATATACAGGTAAAGGATAAAACAAAAATAAATTATTCTTTACCTGTATTTTAGAGATATCAGGCTGTGTGGTTGGAATATTTCCAATTATAACCCTAGCATTTTAAACTGATGTTTAAAAATGTGTGCCAATTTATAATATTTAATCTATTAATTGGCAGTGTTAAATAAAAACTTTTAAATACTCAATCCAAACTTTTATTTTGATAATTTTGTAGGTTTATAAGGGTTTGTGTTTTTTTTTGTTTTTTATGTACTGTAGAGAATAGAGATTTTTCTATACGTTTTAAATAGGTTTTTGCTTTGGATGACTCTTCCATATCCAATGCTTTGTCATTATAAATATTTTCAAAATTTCAAGAACTATTTAATCTTCTTATGTTAATCTTTCCTCCTACTAATTCAATTGTCTTTGCATTTTTTGACATTAACTTTTTGTCCAATAGTATCATTCTGGAATGATTAGGTTATGAAAAATCCTTTTGCATAGAATAAGATTAACCTTGGCTTTAAATAAGACTATTAAACAAAACATGATCTCTAATGATAAACATAATAATAACATTGATAATAATAAACTTCTATGATTCTAGGGAATTAGATCTATGCAAGACCATGGCCTAAAGAAACCATTGAATGTTCAGAAACGAAAGAAACCAATTCAAAGGAAAAGACAGTTTAAAAAGCCTAGAGATAATGAACATTTGGCTGATGTCTTGGAAACTTATGATAATGATAAATAACTGTATAGTAACATGTAATAAGAAGTGATGTATTATACTGTATATAATAATATATTTTTTTATAATTTGAATGGTGTCATGTTATTTTTCTATCTACATTCATTCAAATATCTTTCTATTACTGATTATTTTGTATATTTTAGGTTATATCCTCATTTTTTATTTATTTTTTAAAAATAAATACATATAATCAACTCAAAATGCAATGGCATGATCTCAAAAATATATTGTAGTTTTCGAGTTTTATGATATCATTGATTCATAAATTACTAATTTTGTTACATCATAGATGCAAGCTGAATTATTACTCAATAATAGTATTTGTTTGTAAAAAATGATTACTATTAGCCTTTTAGTAGAAAGTTCTATAACTACAATTAGAAATTATTTTAATGAGAAAATTTAAAAATAGTTCTATTGAAATTTGACTTAATTTTTAGGCAATATATCCTCTTGAGGAAGTGTTCTTGCATTGATGTATTACACGCTCTTCATGCTCTCCTAGTGTAGGCATTTCATATTGTTGAAAATTAGTTAAGTAACAACAAATATACAACCGGGTTTAATAATCCTGCAATTTATCACCTTAGAACTCTGACCCTACCTACAAATATAAAATGTCTAGACGATATAGGATTTTACTAAATGAGTCATTTGAAAAAATATTAAAAAGTTAAGAGATACAACATAATGTGAAAATCTTAGTAATGGCCAGATGTGCCTTGCTATAAAAAACTCTACTTTAGGGATTACAAATTTTACAGCTGTTACCTTCTTGATGATCATTAGCTTTTTATGTTATGAATGAAAAAATTATCAGATTTTTATATTTTGTTAATAATTAAATATCTTTTTCTTGAAATGTTGCCTATAATGCTTTATAACAGAAGCATGTTAATGAAAAATATTACATTTACTATCGATACCATTCCTTAGGTACGAAGGAAATATATTTTAATACAGCTATAATGGTATCCTTTAAAATGTGAAATCTCAGTTAACTTCAAAAACTGACAGCATAATGATTTTGATATTTGCAACTTTACTCAACTGAGAAATTCTCAAAGTGAATTGAAAATAAAAAACTTAACCATTACAACTCATGGAGGGTCTGTTTTTTAGTAAACAGTTATTCAACGTGTTGGTAGAGAATACATTCAACTACTAGGTTTTTCCTCTTAATTAGTTAAACCCACTTAACAGGGATTGAGTGTGCCACAGGAGAATCTCTTGACTGATCAATCCGTGTGTCATATCACAAAATAAATAATATCTGCCAAAACCGGATACTATGGGAGGTAGTTGGAAACTAATGACTATATTAAATCAATTAATTACTCATTATTGAGTATTGTTTTTATTAATGTTATCTAAAAAAAATAATACACTTAATGTGGTACAGCCATGTACATTTTGTATAATATAATTAGGCTAAAGGCAAAGGCTCATCTTATTTTTCATCTATCAACCCTTCCTGAGAGAGTTATGAAATACCATACTTAGTCTGGCATTAATGTTATACTTTTTTCATTGTAAATTAAATGAAACTTTTATTTGCATACAATCTGCATTTAAATAAATCTTTTTGAATTTGCTTGCTTTTAGGTAAATGTAAAATAAATCAAAACAGTTTTTATAAAAAATGGACAATACCATAACATTTATTTAAAAAAAATACTATACATAATTACAACACTTCTCAAGTACTCATCAAACATTAATTCTCTCAAATCAAAGACAATATTCATTTTCATTTATGTATATTTTAACAAATGATTTTATAACAACATATTTACTTAATATAAGCAAATTTACTTTTTAGACCTTACTTGATTACCATGATTAAATCAATCATAATAAAAAAATTATTGAAAATAGCTAAAATTTAATAAATATGGATTTTTTATTATTGTCTTACGATTGAGCAACATTTGGACCCGAATAGATGCCATTTTATAATTTAATTGACCCAAATAACGATATTCACAGCAATGATGTAAACCGACCAAAAGGTTTTTTTCTTTTTTTTTTCCTGATACTTCATCATTCCTTAGGTAGTGCACTGTCACTTTTTCCTCTTGCATATACTTTTACTGATGATTTTCCTCCGAGCATTCTATCAAGGAGGGATTGCTTATTTCTTCTTCTTACACTTAAGATCTCCCTAAAAATAAATGTTATAATTAATCAAAAACAGTTTTAACTGTTAAGCCCTTCATACATAATGGCATCAGGTACTATAGTTAAATAATATCTTTTTCATTTCCATTGTTTAAGTGTATATCTTGAAAATTATTGTTTTTTTCTCTGTTCAAGACTTAGATTAAAAGGAATACTTTTGCTATTTAAAATTTAGCCTAGGAATGCCAATAATCTCTTGCATATTTAATGAATTTGGTTTTCAAAACTTGGGATCACTCACTACAGCCAAAGAAGGGAATTTCTTTGTATGTCAAGGTAAAAACTTCTCCGCTATGGGTATTTTTACTATTGGTAAAAAGGATCTGAGAAGAAAGTATTTATGAAAATAGACAGGAACAAGGATGTTGAAATAGCTGATGGAATCTCATGAGGAAGAGGGATCTTTTACTTGTGTTACTCTCATGCTCTCAAGATTTACCTAGTCCTGTCATAAATATTGTTACAAGGGAATATATACAGATTACAACAGAACAATTAATTTTTTCAAAACTTTATTAGAAAATAAAATGTATATCTATAGAGAGTAAAACAGAAAAGAAATTACTCAAAATGTTCTCCTTTTGCCTTGACACAGGCATTTAATCACCGTGGCCAGTCATCAATAGCAGCACGCAGCACTTCTTGAGGGAAGCGCTCAACTGCCTCGGACCAGAGATTGTTTGAGGCTTTCCAAGTTAGGGTGTGCACTGTGGCATGCCATCTTCTCCAGTTTGGACAAAAGCCGATAATCTAGTGAGTTGAAATCAGGGCTTTCTGAAGCCAATTCAAGGCAGAGATGAACTCTGGAATGTTCTTTTGCAGCCATTGCTGAGTTGACCTGGTATTGTGAGCTGGAGCGGAATCTTGCTGGCAAATCCAATGACTTCCAGCAAGCAGAGTATCATTTAAATGCTTGATAACAGGGTCCAAAATATCATCCTGATAGTTTTAGTGGCTGCTTTAACTCCTATTTCATAAAAATGGAGCTTTGTGGTGCCAAAAAAACAAAACATCCTGAGAATTGGTGATGACCTCTTTCCGTTCTTCCAATGACTTTCTGGGCTTCTTTAGAGCTGTGTGCGTACACACGATCATTTTGGCGATTAAATTTTTCTTCAATTGCAAAAATTTTCTCATTGCTAAACAAAATGGGTCAACGGGCAAAGAAGCACTTTGCATCTATCCACACTAACATTTTTTAGGAAAGTAGTTAGCTTTTCTCCTGCCATTCTTCAAAATGTACCCATCCTAAGGTCACTTTTTACTATGCGAGACATTGATCTGACAGAAATTCCCATTTTCCGAGACATGATTTGTTGGTTTCTAATGGGATTTCTTCTGATTTGAACAGCCACTCCTCTTACTGGATTTGCCAATCTCACAGTGTGGAGATGGTTTGGTCAAGATCTGTCACATACATATAGGGTCTCATTATATCTATTTATAGTGCAGCACACGAACATACAGCTGATACCCAAAGATTTCAAAGTGTTGAAAATCTCTAACGTACATTTTCCAACTTTGTGTAAGGCGATCACAGCTATTCTGCTTTCTTTATCATCCCACTCCATGTTAACTGAGCAAAAGAAAAATATTAACTAATTGGGATTATTATCCTGCCATGTAAAGAAAATAACCTAATAGAGGTAAAGATTATCTAAATAATACCCAAGGATATAAACAAAGTTCAATTTTTTTAACAGTATTTATGGTAGAACTAGGTACATTTTTTTCCCATCCCTTTTACTATTTTATTAGATATTATCCTTTCCCTTACCTGAAATGCCATAATCATAATTTTTCATCACATGTGTTTCATTGTTGGTCATTATTGTCACTTTCATCTTGAATAGAGAAATGAAACATATATAAACTATAGCTTTTTAGAATACAAAAGCTGCAGAATGTCAGTGAGTATTGAAGTCAATTTTCTAAGCAACTATGTTACATATTTTTTAAAAAATATGAGCGGTCGCCAGGAAATAAAATTATTCAAAATGAAGTAAATGAGGACAAATAATGTAAATAACAAAAAAATTGAAGAGTATATTTATGATTTTTAATCATTTATCTTTAAAAAACACCAATAGCTAAGATTTCTTAGAACCAAATGTAGAAGAAAAATATTACATTGAGTCAAAAAAATTTGATAAAAATCTCTTTATTGCTAAGATTGAGCCAAGTAGGTCAGGGTAAGAGTAACTGCATTTAGTTCTAAATAATGGTTAGTATTCATCAAAATACTCCCACAAATTAATTTAATAAGGCCATGAATAATACAGTATTAGGCTGAATTTAATTTATAAGGCTGTGTCTAGCCCAATTTAATGCAAAATAGATAAAAAATGATATTTAATTAACATTTGTGGGCAGATTAAACTTGATGATAACAGATAAAATATTAAAAAGTGTGTTTAGCTGAGCTATCAGTTTATTGAATAATGTTAAGGAAGAATTTCATTTCTAAAAAGCTTTCCGTGGTTCACCAAACAATAGATTACGTCTATAGAAAAAAGCCTTAAGGAAAAAACTTAGTATTAGTAATAAAGAGTTTAATTTATCATTATCTCCACTTAATGATATAGTTTGTATTGAAAAAAAAAAAAGAAAATATGTGTTTAGGTAATTTACTATCTTCTAAATGGTAGCCTTGATTTGAAAGTTGAAACAAATCTATTTAATATAATAACCGTTAGTATTTGTTCCCAAAAGATGCCAAGATCTAAAAAATAATGAATTTGAAGTGCAAGTGACAATTTTTTTTTTCAAATTTCAGATTTTTTTAGAATAGAATTTTTATTTATTTTGGATGTTGTTGAAAATAAAGCCAAACTTAAAGTAGAATTTCATTTTTCATAATCCATCACATTTACAAATTCCCATAAACATTTGTAAGTACTTAAACTTCCTATTCGTTAATGCGAGATTGAAAGTGGAAAAAATATTTATGGTTTTCCAAAGGTCTCCATGGTAATTATTGTTTGATGAGATCCATAGATTTTAAAGAGTTTACAAGAAACTCATATTTTGATAAAAAAAAATTAAATTATGTGATTATTACCTGCAAAGCTCGTTAAATGCTTCTGCTATTTGCGAAACTTGTTCAGCAGCCGCTACTTCACTGAACCAACATTCATAATCCTTTGCGAGAATTTCACCTACAATTAATTGCAGCAATTTATCAATAAGGAATTATTTTTAAAACGTAATAAACTATAAAAATATGTTTAACTTAGGTGGTAAATCAAGGGTGCTTCGTGATGAGTATAAATTAAAGGGAAAAAACAAGTTTCTTTCAATACTTGGTCTTGTTTTGAAATAAAATTGACTTTATTTATTATATTGTTGGTTTATTGCAAAAAGTCATTAAGTGATGTTCGTAACCTTAAATAATTAATAGCTTTGAAATATTTATCCTTTATGAAATCAGAAAATTTGTTATCATTTTCATGCCCTTACAGTGTTTTTGTATACAAAAATAAAATTTAAATTCATATAATCATTTTTGAAAGTTAATCTATATTAAAAAGGCACTTAGTGACTTGTACAAACAAAACAACACTTTGATTATTTAAATAAAACATGGCATATGATCCAACAGGCAAGCTCAGTAAACAATGTTTTGATTGCACATCCTGGCGATTTTTTATCTTCACGATTTCAATATTCAACTTTGTACCGATTTCTAATTATATAATATATGAAAATATTATATAATATTTCAATATAAATATAAATATTATATAATATTTATATTATATAAAATATTATATTATATAATATATTTTTCAGAAATCATTTTCACAGAGGTAACATTTATACAATTCCATATATCATTAATGGGGGTTACTTAGACGTTAGATTTTCTTTCAATATATATTTAATTATTTAATCTTACATTCTATGTTACTATAAGGTGTTATAAAATGAAATAATGAAATAATCTTTAGAAAATTTAATTTTAACTTAAACCAACTTAAAAAAAAAAAGTTTCATGTTCCCCATCAATAAGGACTTCTTTAGGGGTGCCAAGTATCAACCAACATCTTAACAATTTACTTATGAAATAAAGGAATGAATTTCAAGGAATTAAATTATGAAAATGATATTTTCAAGTTCTTCATGAAATATTGTTTACTTCTTAATATGAAGAAAATACTATTTCTACAGTTATGTTGCAAAAATCTGTAATAGCTAAAACAATATCCAGAAAAAACAAGTGTATTAGATTTTCTGTGATATTTTTATTGCAAGCCTAAGACTTGCAGGCAAGATTAAAATATAATTTTTTTGTATTTCTGAATATTTTTGAGACCATAATTGACCAGGAAAGATTAAAACCACTATCTCATGAGAAATTATTCTAACAGGAATTTGGAACATAGCTGTCAATTTTTCATCAGTGAGTGTTGTTTCTTTTTTAGGAATGTATAAACTATGTACAAAATAATTGATAATTATTTATAACAAAATTAAACAGCTGTTGTTTTGGGGCTCAAATTATACCTCATGGATTTTATCATGGATTACTAAACACTTATTAATCCATAATGAGTTAAATATAAAGACAAAACAACTAAATCTTTTAGTACCTTCATCAGTACTAACTTGTCTGAGATGCACCATATCTCCTTTATTGCCAACAAGTGCTACTGGTATATCACAGAGTAATTCTTTAACTTTTCTGACATAATTGAATGATATTCTGTCAGTAATTGCATATACTAAGAGACATCCATCAGCCCAATTAAGTATCTCGTTGGATGGAACATCATCCTCTGTCTGAAAAAGCATGATAATCTGTTTTATCTTTATATTATAAATTTAAAAATCATTACATTAACTTTAAATATATATATATATATATATATATATATATATATATATATATATATATATATATATATTAAAATTATAAATTATATTTAGGTTAATTTAAGTACTAGCTGTTGTTTGTGGCTTTGTTTGCACAGTTTTCAATTTAAAGCAATAATATATTTAGTATGAGTATCTGGAATTCATTGTGAGACATTATAGTAACAACTGAATGAATGAAAGATGTTTCGGTTTAATCTTAAAGTTAAAAATATAATAATAATAGTTTGCACGTATTCCCATAAGATGTTTAAAACTGTTAATTTCAAAACCAGAGCATTCAGAAAAATGTGTAAATCATTAACAGCGAATCCTATTTATTTACACATAATTTTCCTGATATTCCTGTTTATAAAAACAGTTGTTTTATCATATACCAAACTTTAGGGGGGGGGGGGGGAGAGTGAATAATAATAGGCTAAATTAAAAAAAAATAAGGACTCAACAAAAATCTAAAAATGCAAACTCAGACAATTTGAATTAGTTCCTTATTATTCAAAATACAGAAGATTGACAGGTATCATAAAAATAATGTTATTAGGGCTAAAAATGGTTTTAAAAAGCTTTATTAACAGACTCAATATTTTTAATTAATAAGAAAGTTTAAGACTTCAAAACACTTTTTAAAACCATTTTTTGAGTTTGTGTCCCTTTCATTATGTAAGTGTGCATATTTAGAAAAAATAGTGCACTTAGAATATATTATCTTGATCTTTAATGGACTGTTAAGTTTTTGAAAGATTTGTAGCAATATTTTATAAGGAGACTAAAAGCTGTTGCTTATTTTCTCTTAGTACTGCTTCTTCAATCTGCCTGAAGCGACAGTGGATTAGAAAAAAAGGATAAAAGCATATCAGCATATGCTTTGTTTCAATGCTGCCAAGGCAGAGGTTATTTCTGACCCAGGATAAACATTGATGGGTAGCTAATGGATCATCAAGTCACTAGTCCAGATCAATTAACTAATGTTAAACTGTGGCTTGAAAGGCCTAAATCTTGATTAATAAAGTCTGAATAAAAAATAGAATATTCACCAGAAATATTTGGAAATTAAATAATTTCCTTATTTTAACTTGTGCAAAGGAAATGTAATATTGTAGAATTCCTTTTATATACATCTTTATTTTTTGATTGGAGCTATAGACCACATAGATTTTTGTACATGACATGTGATTCAACTCACAATATTGCCTGTGGGAGCACAAATTGGCTTTGGAGCCTGCTTGACAATTTATTACCCCCATAGATGCAAAGGGGGGTGAGCGCCCCCTCCCTCCTTAGTAAAAAATAAAGAGAGGATGAGAATATCTTTTTGCCCCTCCCCAATATTTCGAGAACAAAAATAAAATCAATATCAATAACAATCAATCTCAGAGAATGAATTAAATAGGCAAACTAAAATCAAGTATGAATATAGAAAAAGTTGTCAAGATGGTTAGAAGACAACCTAGAAGTAGGTAGGCAAGTATAAAATATTTTACCACACACTATGTTCCTATTATTGAAATTTTAGTTTATTTTTAAAGATAATTATATGTAACAACATATCCTAGAATTTTATGATTCATTCATGTGCACCCTTCCATTTTTACAAGAAAATTTAATCACATCTCCCATAGCATATGTAATGCATCAGAGAATTAAGAATTCATCTCACTGCCTCAAACCTTTAAATAAAAATAAATATTGTCATATATTCAATTCCTTTATTAAAATATATTCTAATATTCCAAACAAAAAAAAAAAAAAAAAAAAAAATTATATATATATATATATATATATATATATATATATATATATATATATATATATATATAAATTTACATTTATATAAAGTATTTACTATATTTTTCGCTTTACAATATTTGTGTTGGTCATGTTAATAATGACTCATAATTTCTAAAAACAATATAAACTCAGAAGACATTTTTTTAAGAGTCCATTGCCCTCCAATAAATATGGAAAGTCTGCGCCTATGTTACACTCAGGCTTACTTGGGTTCAAGGTAGCTGACAAATCGATCTAGTTCCATGGATTATGGCTGTTCAGAGTAAGAAAGTGCACAATGACCTAAGTTGGTTTTCACGAACGCCCATAGTCCAAACCTCCAAAGGGTGAGTGCTAACATCCTGGAAACCATATCCCGTTTCGGATTATATCACATGAGGTAGGGTAATCATCTTACTCCAAGTGGGTATATTATATTATATTGCCACTGGTAGCCTAATGGGCCTTACATTCCCTGGAGAAGGAGAAAATCCTCTACTTACTTTTCCCTAGAAGGTGGTTTAACAGGGGGTTAGTTACCTATCCACCACGGGAGGGCGGAATCCATGGAGATGGGGAAGGAGAGAGAGGAGAGGGTTGTCTTTCCGGCTGAAGCAATCCTTTCAAAATGAAAAAAAAAATTCATTGGTCCATATTTATTTCGGTGAGTGATGTGAGATAAATAACTTAATCAAAATATGTGCTCTTTTTAAATAAAACACATTTATTTCTGATGCAAAATGGAAGCACGTGTCAAGAAAAAAAAACTATAAAAAATGTATTCTTAAAAGCATTGTTGTTGCCTTAAATATAGTTTATTATTTTTACTTTAATTTTTCATTATTATAAAAACACAAATTAAATCCTGGTTCCACCTTTGTAGGCGGGATGATCGATACGTTAGGGCTAGGGTCCAAGACTGTCCTGTTCTGAACGTTGTGGGTCCGATTCTCACCTGGTTCGGATAATGTTTAGACTGAATCTTGATATTTTCACTCTGGAAAATACGCGGCAGCAACCTCAAGATAGCGTCAGGGATTGGCGAAAAATATCATGTGGGCCACTTGCCTGACTTAGTAACCCTTCATAACCATCCACGCACCCGTACCAATATCAGTGACATCATAATACTGGTTGCTATGTCAGTAAGTGATTTTAGTGTCTCTTGATGTAAACATAAGATAACATCTTAATTTATCTTTACATATCTTCGGTTTAACACTTTCGTGTGTATTCTAAATAATGATATTCATACATCGATGAGAAGATCCAGGTTTAAGTTTTGGATAGGTTAGAAATTAAAAATCAACCTTCTTTAGCTTGATATTGCAACAGGCAATGCCATCATTCACTTATATTCTCGTGTCAAAGTAGGTAGTTAATAATTTTTAAATGTTGATTATATAAATACATTGATCATAAATTACACAACAGCGTTAAAAAAATAACACCAGCTAACATTACTTATGGGATATATATTATATTAATAAATTTCCTTACCTTCGGACACGAATCCAATATTTCGAACAGGATCGGTTCGCCGTCGACTAATACCTCATGTTTGTATCTCATATCTACCAGAATTAAATTTCCCAGTAAAAAATAAAAATATTTAAACCATAAATAATTTATAAATGTATTGAGATATTACCAGCTTGATGATCATATTCTCCAATATATCGCTTGGTTAGAAAACGAACAGTTAACGCTGGAATATTAGAACAAATTAATGTAATTTTTATCATATAATTGAAAAGATACATAGAGTCACATAAAAGGTTCATACATTTACATACGATCGATACTGTTTTACTTATTATAAGTGACCATATATACGACATTCATCACTTTGCAGGTTCATTGTTTCGCTCCAATTTTTTATTTTTACGACAACGTTTATTATTATATTATGTATTATGATATTTACAATTGCATAAAAAAATATATCTAGTAAATTTGTACAATGAATATAATGACATGAAACACTTGTTGAGAAACTACCCACTAGTAGCACTCTAATAATATGTCAACATTAGGAGATCATGGGGCCATCTTCTTTTCTGACGCCTCGGAGGGTTATCAGGAATTAAAGAGGAAGAAAGGTTAGAAACAAAAGGGTTGGGATGGTTATGAAGTTTATTAAGGAAGGATAGGTATCTGGATTGGGCTAAATCTGAAACATTAAGGTCATTATGGATTATTTTATATGTAACAAATTGAGGAGCATTGAGGATTTTGGATTGTTAGGATTGGATACGAGAGGAATTTGATTGTTTGGGGGAGCCCCATAGCTCAACTCCGTAAGTCCAAATAGGCCTTATTATAGTCATGTATATGAGTCTTTTGTAATTAATTGGAAGATTAGAGCGTTGGCCTAGTAAGTTTTGAAGTAGTCGGAAACGTTGAGCGGTTTCTTGTCGTTTCAGTCTTGTATGATAATTCCAAGTGAGACGTTTATCCAGGTGGAGTCCTAGGCAACGTATTTGTTCAGCAGAGATAAATGAGGTATTGTTAAAGGATATCGTAGTACAGAAAGTCATTGGTTTACGAAATATTATTGAACGACGTATATTTTGGGTTACAACAATGTTTGAATTAAAAAAATAACATTTAGTGGTATCTTAGACAAAAAATACATCTTTGTCCATTTACCTGAGGCAAATCGATTTATTTAATGTATTTGAGTAAGCAAAATGAAGTCGATTTTAACAAAAAAATAAATTAAATGAGTAATAATTGGAATTCACGAGCATTCAAAAAAATACAAAACAAAAAAAAAATGAGCTTATCAAAAATTTCTTGTAATGATATTAAAAAGCTTGTTTAGGTTTTACAGTTTGAGAAATCATACAATTGATGGACCTTTGCGCTTATATTAATTAAGTCATTAATTTCATATTAGTTTTTTGCATGATTAAACTTTTGCATTATTAAATTAATAATGTCTAACCCTGACAAATTAAATTAAAATTGGACGATCCAAGTTTTTTTTTTTTCTCAGGTAGATGAAAACAAAACTATTTTTAGGCAGATGTGCTTGAATCAGCACAAAACTGGGCTAGGAGGTCATTTCGTTATACAACATGTTATTTTTTCTGTCTTAAAATAACATGTTTTCGCGATTATAATTTGTGTATCCACATTTTAATTTATAAACTAATAAAAATTGGAGCCCAAAAGTCTCGAAATATCAAATCTGTTATATTATTTGGATTAAAAAAATCCGATTACATACTATGTCGATGTTACACTTGTAGTTCATCTAAGTTACTCTTTTATTAAAATAAAGGTTTTGCATCTATAAAAAATAAAATGTTACGAATTCAATGAATTGCCTCATTTTTACGTTGTAAGAGTTATTGAATAAGAATTATTGAAATAACTTTTGAAGTTTGTGATTTACTGCTGGGATTCGCAAATAGGATGCCGCCGCACAGTGGGATGAGTAAGGGAAAACTCGCGACATCGGCTAAATCTATGATATTGTTTTTTTTTTAGAACTCTAAAAACTAGATTAACTGTTATATTCATACCTTGTGGAGTTCCTGAGAATATTTTCATTTGGCAAAATATACGTTTTTCACTATTATTGATAATTTCTATTTAAAAAAAAAATAGATTCAGCCGTCGCGAGTTTTCTCTTACTCGTCCCACTGTGTGCCGTTAACGTATTTCCGGTGTCTTGCAATACCATTCAAGGTAAAAATACTCTACTTGCCAAAAAGCTATTCTAAAAAAATCATAAATTTATATTTATTAGTAACAGAATTAAAATTAATCATTTTTTCTAAGATATTTATTTTTTTGTTAATGCTGAGGATTGATTTTTTTTTGTGATAAATTTGTTGTTCAAAATAATTTTGTATTATGTTATATAATTTTTCATATTTTAGAAAAAAAAATTGTGTTAAAATTAGTTCATTAGCGACGGCTTTTCTTAAACATGATGAATAAAATTATTCAACATTTTATTATTTATTTTAAACTCACTTAGCATCGAAAGAGGACATGTAAACTTTTTAGTGCTTATTATATGACTAAAATAAATATTTACTAAAACGTTAATTTACACTATGAAACGCAAAGCTATAAAGAAAACATTCCAATAATCAGAAATTTATTCTAGCTATGGTAAACATAAAAAAAAAAAAATGTTCGTGAAATTTTATAATTTGGTGTTTGTTTTTGTTAGCAGACACCTAACCTTCCGATGAACAGTTTTATTAATTAATAAGTTTAGAAGGCTCCAGATGTGATAAAAATTATACATTTTTTTTTGGGCCCTTTTTAAAATTATGACGTGGTATCACAATGAAGTGTACCTGGCTACTTAGGACTCGCTCTAGAACCTGTTAGGAAAGGGGATTAAATATTTTTTTTATTATTTAAAACCGCAAGTTTTTAAAAAGACTAAATTTTGAATCTAATTTTTAATAAGGTGACATACCACTCTTGCCTACCCCGGGTGCGCCAATGACTGCAACCTTAACTTCTGTCAACGTCGACTTTTTCCTTCTGATACCCCTGATAGTGTTCGACGTCATGCCCCTCTGGAGCTCCTGGAGCATAACTCTGGCCACACCTCCTGCTCAGAAAGAAATATAATGTTACTTATTAGCTTTTTAAAACAATCCACAGCATAGATGATGTTTGCGAAGTATAATAATGATGGTTTCTAATGAAATACTATGCTATACTTTATTGAAAAAGATATGAGATCAAAGTTTGTCAAAGAGGGAAAGAAAAATCTAAATAGAGAATAGGCATACAATATTTATAAATGTTTATTTAGTAGGAATCCAAGCCGAGCCTTTCTTCCCACAAGGAAAAGCAGAACTCTAGGAGATCTTAACGCCAATTTCTCAGCCACCTCAATGGTATTAATGTACAATAGAGGCTGAGCAGAGGCGTTGTAACCACAGGCGTTTTAACACAAACGTACAAGGCGTGAGAGGAGAACCTGGCAATTGCCGGAACTCAAAAATATACATATTTACAAAAGGTCTCGTGACCACTGTCGTTTCAACCTTCGAGGAGGATTGTAGGGATCGGTCGAGGTAGATAAGGATTCCGAAGGGGATTTGGATGGTATATAAGGTTCTGCTGAAATTTGGATAATTGTTCTGTCTGGAATAAGATCTAAGACATAGTATATTAAGGTATATTATTGATGGAAGTTGAATGAAGTTAAAATTTTACTTAATCCAACATTATTTTATCGTTAATTACATTTTTAAACAATAGGTTTACATCGATCTATTCTATTGTGCAGAGGAGTAGCGATGCTATCAATTAAGAGCTCACCAAACGACATTTTTAACGAAGGTCAAGTGCTATGTTCTTATCGATCTCTCACCAGGATTATTAGCTGCGGGAGAGAGATTTTAGAGGAAAATTTGGACCTATGAAAATACATTGTAAGGGGAAAATACATTTTACCTTAGTTTTCATGCTAAATATGAATAATTCTGATAATTTTTATTTCTACGAAAAATCATTATAAACATCGATAGACTATAACATTGTGGATGCCATTGATAAAAACACAGCTTCTTGAACTAAAATTAAGGCAAGAGCCAAACATAGTTAGCCTAACGGATTATATATCGTGAACGAATCTTTAATCAAACGACCAGAAAAAGGAATCTATCACCTAATATCCAGCATAAAGTATCTTAAACATTTTCACCGAAAGTCATTGCCAACATACAAGGTATCGCTCTCACCCGGCAGAATATAAATCGAGTTCAATTTAGCACCGATACTGTTCGGGAATCCAAAGCTTAGTTTATGGATCTGAATTCCAGGGAGTTGTTCTGAAGAAAAACATGTCCCTTTGAAGGCGTAAAAATAGAACATTAAAGAAAGAATGTATGAAAGTGGGAAATAGGTAACAGTTTATCAACACGGCGACTTGTTCCGAGAGGACCTTAAGTGCTGGATTGATAAGCACACAGCAAGGAGCAGCACATAACTTTTAAAGATTTTTTTAGGTCTAAAAGACGAGATAAATTTAATTATGAATATTAAAACAATTCAGATTATTTGGTTGGCTGGTGAATTGATGGATTATAATCGATTTTTTAATTTTAGCTTGAATGGTTACCTAATAAAGATAACAGTGAAAAGACGTCTGCCATCTGGCAGTATACTAGAAATACTAGATCAACATAAAAAAGAAAAAAAATCGACCGAAATAGACTTGAACAATCACTAGCGGGCCTTGTCACTGAAGTCAGTAGCGCCAAACCTGCCTACACAATGAAATACTTACATTGTTTTAAAATGTTTGAAGAAAAATATTAAAATAAGAAGAAAACGTCTGTCAAATATATCAGTACAGCTTCCTCGCCTATTTTATTTGGTACATAAAAGATTAAAAAAGCTGAACAGAATCCATATACCCCATTAAAACATGCCTAATAAATTGTATTATATAGCTTCCCACTGTCCTATGTTTATTACCTACCACGCTTCACAGCCAATATATTCTAAATAATTACATATATTTAAATTGTTAATTGGGAATAGATGCAATGAATACCAGACCCTTTTTACATTATTCTGCAACTTTGTGCCAAATCGATTGGACCATTTTAGAAATACAGGCGTGTTGAGGAAAATACTTTCTCGCACTCGTAAACGAATGCTGGGCAGAGGACATCTAGACATAAACCAGTACAATCTCTGAAAATTTCATCAAAATCGCATTATCGGCAGTTGATGATGTACCTGTCACGTAGATTAGACTACAGACACGGAACCAAATTTTTCTTTCATTACTAAAACGTTAAACGTAAGCCTGAATTTAGATTTTGAGCAATATTTATATATATATATATATATATATATATATATATATATATATATATATAAATTATTTTTTTATCTTACGCACAAATAGAAAGCATTCTTATCTTCGGTAATTAGGAATAAGAAATAAAACACTAGTTGAAGTTCTACTTAATGCTACTTAATGAAAAAAATATTATCAAAGAATTATGTTGTTATATATTTATAGTTTGTGATTAATTTAGTAGATGTCCTAGAACAGAAATAAATATTGTAAAATTCATAGAGATTAAATCCGAATTTCTCAGTACAGTTGATTTACATAAATACACCCTTTGTCAGTGGAGCTTAAGTATCGAATAAAATAAGAAGACGAATAAATATTGGGTGGATCCATAAGTTCGTTCGGTTTTTGTTTGTAGTGCGAATTGTTTTAAAATATCTCCAATTCTCTTTGTCTTATCCGACAATAATGATATTTATCGGAAAGGTCCGTTCTTCGAAACTGTGGTTTTTCGTTTCATTGGTGTTGTGCTACAGCGTTCAGTTTTGTTTGTGCTACAGCGTAGTGAATATGTCAAATGATAACGTACATTTTTGGCATATTTTGCTTATTTATTTGAAAAAAGGCAAACGAGCACAGTTAAAGATATGTAAAATATACGGGGACGATGCCTTAGCAGAACGTACTGCTCAAAAATTGTTTGCCAAGTTTCGTTCTGGAGATACGAGTCTAAGATCACCCCGCAGCGGTCGGCTCACCAAGGATGTTTCGGGTGATATCCAGGTTCTAATCGAACAATACCGGTTGCTACACTTACGAGAAATTGTGGATACACTGAAAATAGGTTTCAAAACCGTTCACAGGCGTTTAAAACAGTTTTGCTACGTGTACCGGTTTGGGTGCCACACAAACTGACAGGCAAACCTGGTCAACCGAATAACGATCTACAAATCTCTTCTAAACCGGCATAAAAGAGACCTATTTATTAAACAAATAGTGACGGGTGACGAAAAGTGGATTATCTAAGACAATGTAGTGCGCAGGGGGCCGTGGACAGCTGCTGATGACGGCCTTATGCTACCCTGAAGGCGGTATTTACCAAAAATATGTTCCTCACCCGATGCTGGGATTATTGCGGCGTGCAGTTGTACGAGTTGCTTTCACAAAGAAAAATTATTGACTCGAAACTACTGCACTCAGCTAACGAAATTGGACCAATCATTGGGACATAAACGACCAGACCAAGTCATCCGCAAAGGTTTTGTATTCCACCATGGCAGTGCTTGACCACACTCTACAATAACCACACAGCAAAAGCTAGAGCAATTTGACTGCGACGTTTTATTACACACACCGTAGTCTCCGGACCTCGCACCATCTGACTGACACTTATTCCGGTCTCTCCAAAACTCTTTCAATGGGAAATCGTTCGCTGATGAGACAGATGTGAAAACGTATCTCGATCTGTTTTTCATCTCTAACGCCCACATGTTTAATAAATACCGCGAATAAATTATTGAACAAATTTTATTCTTTGTATGAAAAAATAAATGTTTTATTTCACCCTTCAAAAACCGAACCAACTTTTAATTTCACCCAATATATAAAAATAATATACAATATTTTGCACTATCAGATCTAGTATACATGAAAAAATATCTTAGTATTACTTATAAATACTTAGGATTAGGAGCACTCTTTAATAATAGTTCGATTTTGATAACATTATTTATGAAGGGTGTTTTAGAGTTAAGTAGCTAAACTAAAAATATGAATTACGGACCTCAAAACAAGAAAAAAAAAATTCCTATGTTGGTATGTCCGCAAACGCTGTGTTTAAGAGAAATTCACACCTAAATATTTTCATTGTTACGGATTATTTATTTGTTCCAACTACTTTATTAATTAAATTCATGTTGTTGAAAGTGATATCCTTGAGCATTAAGACATCTTTCTACAACAGCAGCAGTGGCAGAATTTCAATGGATATGTGTTATTGTTTCACAAGATTCAATTAGGTCTGGAAAGTGTGCAGCCCAAGCCATTGGTCCTGCAGGACCAATCCATTGATTGGGATGATTAACATTTAGCCATTGTCGTGGATCTCTTCCGTAATGTGCAGGACAACCATCTAATTGAAGCCACACGTCCCTTCTCAGTTGTAGTGGAATATATTCACCTAAATCATTGTAATTAATCATTATTAAGGAATTCCAAAAATGCGCCCTCATTGAGTCGAAGCTGCAAGAAATGAAAACCTATTAAAATATTGTCTATTATCCCCAACCACACATTGCACTGAAACTGGTGCTGGAAATGATGCTCACGGTTTTCATTTGGATTTTCCTGCGACCAGAGATGATTATTTTTCTGATTGGAGATACCTCTTCTTGTAAAGGTAGCTTCATCTATCCAGAGAATTTTTCTGAAAATTGTGGATTATGCTCAACATGATTTAAGTACCAATCTGAAAAATTTCCTATTTGCCAAAAATGTTGCGGTAATAAATTTTGTGCCCGTTGATAATTTATTGGGTGAAGTCCATCTACAATGAGAGTTCTCCATACTGTAGTAGGCGTAATATTTAATTCTGCTCCAGCTCTTCGTACACTGCCAGATAAATTATCATCAAAATATTGTAATATGGTTGCACTCCTTTCTTTATTTCGTAAAGTGACAAAAATACCATCAGCACGTGGTAGTATGGCAAATGTACCAGTTTCTCTAAGACATTGAAACGTGGAGCTAGATAGACTTGTTTGGTAATCTTCAATTCGGAAATCTCCTGG